GACTTCTTCATGTTGTTTAGTCATGATGGTAAAGAGGGTTGTGCTTCCCTTCAAAATTGTACGATTGTTTAATTTCAATAGTATTGGCCGTTATTTCCGAGCCATTTTGCAGGAGGTTGGACATATCCATCGTTTTTTATCTGTTTCCCTTGCTTTGCTTTTATAATCCCCGTGCCTTTGCTCATCGCGATTCGTATGCTGCGTTGTACTGCTTATTCTGCATATCCGTTTCCAAGAAATATCTGAGTTAGTTTTTCCTGTTTTTCTTCCTAGAACTCAGAATCGGTAAGTCGTAGGCTACTTACGATCATACTCCTGGGTATTTCAATCTTCATTTTCTATGTATGGCTATAATATAAACTTACGATTATTCCTGAATGCGACTTCTTTCGAAACAGCCGTTTTCTAAAAATCTCATTTGAGCATATTGCCTCCATATCTAACTCCTTATCGATTGCTAAGAAAAAATCCAACAGTTAAAATCAGATAAGCACTGCAAGCTATGCTGATGGGAATGAATACGAACGGAGAACTTTACAAATGGACAATTAATTCACTCCTTATAAAAGCTGCAAGAGCCCCAGTAGCATACAGTTTGCCGAAAATACATGAAGAGCGAGAACCATTGAGCCAAATAGCGGATAACATATAAGCAGACGAAATTAATCTGCCTTCATCTAAAGAAGATAAATGACATATAATCGAATACAGTGAAGAATTCATATAAATTTTGCCAGAGTCAAGAGCACCAGTTTGGAGGCTAATGAACTATTGGTAAGTTTTGATGTACAGTCCATTTACACCAATATCTCAGAAGAAAAAGCATTTGCGGCACTACTGGAAATCTTGGAAAGAGAAGATGACCTAGAGATTGAGCAATCCGAAAAGAGTCTCTGACCCGATTAATCAATATAACGAGAACTACCCATCTCCCATTGAACAGTCTCATCTATGAGCACATATTCGGTCTGCCAACAGGCTCTCAATTATGTTGACAGCCTCATAATTTTGCGCTATTTGGATGATTACTCCGCACTCAGGTCGTTTGGGAAATAAAAAGTAGATGATTTCCTGATCGTTTCAAATGGCATAGATGAAGAAGTCTAATTTACAATTGATGTGGAGGTCATTCGCTCCGAGACACAAGAAACGGCTGTTCCGAAATAGATCTCATGCTGGAATAATTTTCAACTTTCATTCTAAGCATACTTATGGAATGAAGATAGGAATGCTCAGGGGTATTGTCATAAGAAGCCTACGACTTACTGATTCTGAGTTCTAGGAAAAGGAAGTAAACAAAATAACTTTGATGTTTTTTAGAAGCGGATATCTAGAAGAAGCAATACAACGCAGCATACGGATTGTGATGAGAGGAAGATGTCTAGATATGGGCATCACCGGCTCTAGTCCTCGAATATGACGTAAGCTGAGATGGGAATTGAAGTTTCATTGACATCCGCACAGATTCTGATGTTTAGCAACGACCACTTGGCAAGCGGTTAGAAGACAGGGCTGAAGAAAAGTCAAAATACCTGCAAGTGGCATCTTGAACCGGTGGTGAGGATGCGTATGCTTGACTAAATCCACTTGCTGTTGCACACACGTAGTCAACATTAGAGGAAAGGAGAGCTCAGCATTGTGTGAATAGACAAATGGGCCATATGAAGTGGAGTTGAGAGAAAGAGATATAGCATTATAAAATAGGAAAAAAATAAAGGCGAGGAGTGATGCCACAACGGTTAAACAGAAAATTGGTCAAAAGAATTGCCTTCACCTCTCATTTTGATAAGTTTGAACTCTGTAATCATGATGGAGCCTATTACTGATGATGCCGGCGAAACGTTTGGGAATGTATAAAGTCAATGGTCCAATATTAAAAATCATCAATACTATTCCAGAGGATGCAGAGCCAAGTAGGTTTTACAAGGTCTTTCTGATGCTTCGACCAAGTTTCGAAAACGAAGTCAAACCAAACACTAGACAAAAGGTAAAATGATGTTGGAGTACCTTTCGTTTCCTTTGAAGAGGCGAGTGGAAAGGATTTTTAAGTTGGCCTCATCAGAAGCTAAAAGGGGATCGTCTTGGAGCCGTGACCGTCGATTTATGCTAATGGTTCCTCGGCGAACCGCCATTGCAGCTTCAGGTAAGGCCAACTTACGAATCCCTTCTACTCGCCTTGTCAAACAAAATGAAAGGTACTCCAACATCATTCTCTTAAGAAATTCTTCGAGTCCCAGTTTTTTTACATACTAAAGGTCTCAATTAGACTTAGATTTTTCTCTTGAAAATTGTTGTCCCTGAAATCTATTGTCTCGATTGAAAAGCTTAAGCAAGCAATGCATTCTCATTGGTTTTTTGTGTTACGACAGGAGGCCCTCCTAAATAGTTTGATGGTATTTTATATTTAGATTTGGCAGGTTTAGATACTACTAGTAGGTCTTGACTAAGAAGATTGTTCTACCTATGTCGCATAAGGTGGTTGAAGACTGTTAGTTACTTTTTCCACTTTGATATGAGTAGGTCTTATGATGTATTTGAACATTATTTAGGAATGGACTCCGGACTAGGTGCGTTCCTCTAAGTCTTCCTACCAGTATGACCATGTTGCGAAAACAAGGTCAAAAAACCTCTATATAACGAAAGGAGACTGCGATCACACAAAAGGCCACACCATCTTGGTCTTCCTACCTTCGATTATCTAGAAATGTCTTTATTTCTCGTGACTATCTTGAGCCTATGGCAGTGTGGCCTAGTTTTAACTTATCGAAACTAAGCCTTGTATTTCCCTTTGTGGATGTTGATAAGACCGATGTGAAGTCTAAACTGCAGCCCATCCTGGATATGAATTCCTAGAAGGTATGGCTTTTTAAATTCATTGACATCGTGAGGCCTATTTGTAACATTGTGGGAAAATTCAACACTCAATCCCTTATCACTTTATGCAACCTAGTTTGGATACACTTACTACCTATTATTATTAGGCCTTTCTATTAATTTGCAGAATTAAACTGAAGGAATTTGTAATTTTGCCTCACCCGAACCCGAAATATTTTATTAGAATTGTGATTATGGATTTAAGCAAATGAGCCATCGGTTCTTCGTCTTTCCCCTATGAATCCACCATGACCCTTCATTCGTCATATAACAGGTATGGTCGGAGCAAGAAATCATCCTTTGAAGAATCATGAAACATTCTTGGCTTAAAGGATTGCTTGTTCCACTTGGCAATAACAATTCCTAGGTGCTAGTCCCTTGACTTAGGATGAGAAGAACTCACGAAGCTGTCTCATCCAATCCATCATACGAAATGAAATATCTAGGATATAAAACATTTCCATTTGTTTGTAACGATTTATTATAAGAAACATTTAATGCAATTTCTCGAACTTATTTTATTTGCTACTCTCAGCGACGCCAGTGCGCGAAGCCCCAAAGCTGCATCAGGGCAGAGCCCTACAGAGCACCCTGCCATATCATCCGTCAATGCCTCTGACAAGCACAGTTGCTCCACTTCCATCTCGACTAAGCATCAGCAGCGTAAAGGTGGACGAAGAGGTCGGCGCTAGATTCTGGAACTTTACCGCTTATTTATGGCTTCATTATCTCGTTTTTCAACATTTATGTATATATTTTTATACATATATGCTTTTGCTTTGTCTGGCTATATCCTTTGAGCCCCATTTGAGGTTCTAGCTCGTTTTTATTATCTTTCCTGGGTCCAGTTATCAATGCCATTCTCGATCTTGATATTCTTCCTTTAAATCTCCTTTTTTTCTCCAGCTAATTGCAAGGGCCAATCGAGTATTCAAAATGTTAATAAGTAGGATTAATGTCAATATACATAATGAAGTAAATAAGGTTAGAGTTCGGATTTATTCACTACAAAAGCTATAGATGCGATTCGTTTATAATCAATTATTTTGCACAAACTACTAATACCGACTTTTTAATGTAGCTCACTTGGAAGACAACAATATACAAGTGATATTTTATCACTCTAGGAAACTTCTCCGTGCCCGAAAATCAGTCATTTTATACTTTAAAACAAGGTCAATTCGCTTCCACATATATGGTGGGCTTTGATATCATAGAATGATATTTTATAATATGATTTTGTATCGCTTACCTACGTCTGTCTCGGAATTGCCACCTCATATATTAGCGCATCCTGTACTTTTCGATACTGTGCGTCACTAAAATTCTTAAAACTTAGAAACTTTTGTAATTTGGATGTATACCGCTCGCATTCTTCCGCGATAAACCTGCTGTTACCCTAGTGGTTGGTGCTTGCCTCATCGCCTCATCGCCTGATTGTGCTTGCCTAGCTATTATGGCAGACCGGGATGAGCACTTATATCTTGAACATTAACAAAACTTGTTCCGTTAGAGGGTGGCTTCTCAGTCCCAGCATAGTTTTCTGTCGACGGTTTAATTCGCCTCAACCTTCGAGACGTCCTCACAATACCATGCAATCTGTCTTTTTCCTATCGTCTTTCGCCCGGCCGATTCTTGTGTATACCTCCAGCCCTCAAGTTTCGCCCCCTATCTCTGACAACTTGGATATAACAGTTAAAGATGGCGTCTGTTTTCTACTTGCTCCCATGTGTTATATTGACGTCAAAACATTACCTATATGGAAGTTGCTTGACCTTGTTTTCGCAACTTGGTCATATTGGTAGGAAGACCACCTTGTCCTGAGTCCATTTTATGCATAATTCTTTCCAAGTCGGGCCGTGGACGCGGTACATTTCCAGACGTTTCGCCGGCATCATCAGTGAGTCGCCATTCTTAGCACCATTTAACAACTCGTAAAAGAGAAAAGTGAAGCCGATCCTTCGACCAAACGTGTCCTAAACAGTTGTGGTATCTCCCTTTCTGCCCTGGGCTATTCACATTTCCTAAATCACAATTTG